AGCTTTTGGTTCTTCAGATGCTTCTTCATCTAGAACCCAGCGGTTCCTGTGGATCTTCCCTCATTTGACATCAGAACAATCTGTGTCAGCATAGCAAGTTAAACAGCTAATTAAGGTACAACGAGCAAAATTTCATAACAGGAAGAATCCAAGCCAACCAGGTGCTCCAAGAGGTCAAAACTGAAAGCTGTTCCATACCTTGTAAAAAAAGAAGCAGGGAAGATGAACCCTCTAGACCAGACTGTTTCTGGCCCTGCATAAGTAAATGGGAGATAGGAGAGAATGTGCTAAGAGTAACTTTCCCCTTACTCAATTACAAGGACCAGGCAGAACTCCAGCCAGGTGCTATCTGGGTGAAAAATATCAGGAAAATTTAGTTCTGCTTCTGTTGCTATACTTCCAAAGTGGATAGGAAGTGACAGTGAGGGTTAGTACATAGCTTCATCCTCCTGGAGCAGGGGTGGGCCAGGGGCTAATGGAGTATGAATCCCTTGTGCACAGGATGATGTAGCTAATGCTTGGCATAGAGTCTGAAAGCATCCTGGAGGCATTCTATTTGAGCCAGTAAGATTCTCTCCTTAAATTTGTTTTGCTGCATGTCTCTGCTACAGCTGCCCTTGCTCACTTATCACCACAGGCTGTGCCTTTAAAGCCACAAAAAGCCTTTTAGGAACCATTTGTTTTCATGCACACATTTCCAAGTCACAAACTGAAGCAAGTAAAAAGGAACATATAGGGCTAAATCCTAAGTGGCATTTATGTACTACTGTAATGACAATGCATAGCACTAATGCACAATGTGCATTCTGTTTCTACTCATGGCACAATCAGCTCATCCTATTAGTACAATGGCTAGGGCATTTGCCCAGGCAGTAAGAGATCCAGATGCTAAGCCTCCTCATCCCACACCTAGAGGTGCACTTGCTTCCCAGGAAAGTGCTTTACCTACAGGTTCCAGGCCAGGCATTGCCCAGGGCCCTCTGCATCTCTTTACATCTTGCATTTCCAAGTGTCTTTGTATAAAATGGACAAACAGCAGTGAGAGAGTGATTTTTACTCTACTGGGGCCAGGGGTGCAGACAAGACTGCAGGGCCCCTTCCCTTCTAGGGCAGTGGCCATCTCATTGAGTCACTCTCTCTCTCTATGCTGTCCCACTCCTTCTAGCCATACATATCTTCTCCCCATGATGGCTGCCCAGTGGTCCAGCTTCATGAGGAAGGCTGAAGAGGACTCCAGGTAAAGACTAGTTGGCGGTCTGATGTTTTAGGCACTTGCCTGAAAATTAAGGGAGTAAAGTAAATTCAAAACCCACTCTGGAACCCAGGCCTCTCAGACTCTAGACATGGTCCCTGAGCACTAGATTACTGGGATAAACAGCGGAGGCTGCTCCTTTTGTAACATGCATCCATTAGTAGGGACTTGTCCATGACTAAAGTTTGGGGTTTTGCAGTGTTACATGCACAGCAAGGCAATTTTATTTCATCCGGGCAACTACAATTGTCAGAGGGCATCCTACCGAACACATTCAGTATGGAAACACAGGCTGAGTCTAACTACACAGAATCAAAACTGTGTGCAAGTGCCCCCCAAAAATCAGTTGCACAGCCATAGAAGTGCCACTTAATTAGGTGAAAGTGACATAGTATTTAGCCCATGTTGTAGAGCTGCACAACAAATTTTCTAGCACTTTCCATGACCTACTGGGAGTGCTGAAAAAACAGCTGATGTAGCTAATTTACTTCATGAATTGTAGTAGCTGCAACCATTTTAGAGGGAAGATAACACCTCCCACTCTAGCAAGGGGCAGCCCCAGTGGAAGTACTAACATTGACCAGTTGTTAACAATGAATCACTTTTACCCTGCTCAAGTTCTTATGCTGCTACCACTGTGGATTTGCATTGATGGGAAATTAAGAAGAGTTTCAAACACAGCCAATGCTTCAGCATATAAAAAGGAAGTCCTACCTCTGCATCATATTTCACACCATCCACAGTGTGCTCAGACCCTTGGCCTTCACAGGATCCCCAGTGGATGTGAAACTGAATCAGTCTGTAGGTTCCGTCCACTGCTCCACCTCTCAGCACTGCAAACCAAGAAGTTTTTATCAGCACATGCCTCGCACCCTTCATTACAGACCCTTCCTTTATAACAGAGCACCCAACTCAAGTCTAAAGGAAACTGTACTTTGATGCTCTGCCTGCTGTTCTGCTATTCTGGAACTGTTTAGAGTCCAACGCTAAAACTAGCCAGAGTCACTGCAAGATATATAAAAGCATAAATGCCATCACTGTATATCCTGTCAACAGTTAGCCAGCTATACTACTTATACAAGGTGATCAGGGTTTTGGAGGACATTATAGGATTAACTCTTCTGCCATGAATAAGAAAAGCCACAAAGCTGAATGGCCAGAATACTGCTGCCATATACTAGGGCCAGCAAAGCGCATCTGTTATGCTGTCTGGCTATTTGGGCCTTGATCCTGAAAATCATGCACTGGAGTCCAAAGCTGCTATTCTACAATGCAAATCTGAGCAAAGTTTATCCATGGAATTTAGGGGATTCAAGTCTCCATTCCTTACCATTCCTATGGTCCTCAGTTTGGAAGAAAGGCATATACTTTTGTTCTCCCTATTGGCATTACTACCCAATAGGAGTAACTGGAGTGTCAAGAAGACAGTCATGCATGCAGGAGCAGGCTTCCCAGAGCTGTTTCATACTGTTGCTAATTTTTACCTTGTGTTTATACTTAACAGTCCACACTTGTGATTGGTAGGATCAAGAACTAACTTGGACTGCAGAACACTCAAGGCAGGGACAATGTCTTCTAAATTGCCACACCAAGCAGAGAACAAGCATGAAAAAAAGCCCTATTGAAGTCAGTGGAGCTATTCATGTGAGTAAAGAGAACAAAGACTGGTTCAGATTGTTCAACTGCGGAGCATTTGGTTATCACAAATGAATTCTTTGCTTAGGTTGATAATATTTTTAAAACAAAGATATTTAAAAATAAAAATGTGGGTGTTAATGTACCTTAGAAACCAATACTTGTTTTTGCAAACTGTAACAAAAGCAAATTATACTTCAGTTTCCATCATTGTGCCTACAGATTTGTAGGTGTGACATCAAAAGAAGAAATAATATGCCCCTTTGGCTAATACTCCTCCTTTGGGACCTAAAATCAGAACTTTGTAAAATACGAATGCATGTTCTATTTTAGTCTTTGCAATTTCAAGCATGCTAGACCACGCTGAACAGACCAGGATTCACCCTGCCTCAGGCCAAATTCTATGAAGCATGTATACAATGCTCAAAGTGGGGCTCTAACTACACTAGCTAGTTAGGTTTATATTTTATAATAAATATCCATTTTTAAAAGCTGCCATATGTTTTGAATGATGGCAGTTTCAAATTAGCACTAAAATTAGTACATTTTAATAAAAAGTAGATACTGTGAACGAACAGTAGTTTCTTTTACAAGTTAAATAACTACTTAAAACCCCCCCCACAAAAAATGTGCCTGTATTATATAGTTGCATTGCCAGTAGACCAGCCATACAGATATAAAAAGGAGATGAGTTTCCAAAATCTTTGAATGCCAAAATAACAATAACATTGTGGCAGTATGACCTGCTGATTTTGAATAAATGGAAAGCATGCTGAGAAGCACATTCTTCAATTCATCTGCAGCACTGTTCCTTTAGGATTCTAGGTAGAAACCATAAAATCAGATAATACACAAAAGTCTCCTTGCATTTTTGTGTCTTGCTTTCTGTGTTCTGTGGTTTTCAAATTCAGTACTTGCTTATTTTGAGTCACAGCAAAGCATTTAAAGAAAGTAATAATTATATTAGTGTGAATAAATATAAATTCAGACGGCTTAATTACACAACAGCCTTCTTGTGTTAGTCTATATTAGGCAGGTTTTTTACCACTTCTCAGTGATGCCACTGAAGTAAATTGGACAGGCAAAAAACAAATACTGGGAAGTCATTTTATCCAGAGCAATCTTTTTTTATCCATTAATAAATATTACCAGTTCCCCAAATTTAAAAGCTTCTTCCTTCATTGTTTTAGCTATTTCACTTGGCATTAGACACAGACCCAAACTCAAATTAGGCATCAAATCTTCCTATCCGATTGCTTTGAAGATTGCAGTTGGCATCCAGATCTGAGTATCTTGGCTTTACCCCCTTGCCACAGTTATATACAAAAACTGTCCCCTCCCTCCCCCCCCAAACCTTTTCTGAGTCTCACAATTACAGAAAGACAGGGAAAGAGAAGTAGCACTACCTCCCATTGCATACCAATATGTAGCTCCTCCATGGGTGCACAGTGCTAGCTCAATAGACATGAGCAAGAGAAAACAGCTAGCTGGCTGTAGGATGAAGAGGGGAACATCCAAGGTGTGACACACAGTTCTTTTTCAGAGAAGCACAATTTACAATGTGGTATGTATCAGTAACTCCAACTCTGTGGCTTTGTGACAGCTGCAGCAGAAGCCTGAATGTATAAGAGGCGTTGGGCTAAAACTATGATGAGTTCTATTTGACAATAGCAGGAGAAATGTTAAGGTAAAAAATCACAGGCCTGTAGGAAAATAGGGCTGGAAGGAACCTCACAAGATCACCTAGTCCAGACCCCTGTATAGTAACAGAAGTTATAGTTTGGAGATACTCCCTAACAGGAAGCTGACAGAGCTGGGAATTAGAAGATAACCCCTCAGTTAGGGAGCACCTACTCAGGAAAAAAGAGAGACAACAAGTCTGCAAAAGCTTATCTACTGCTCACAATAAAACTCCTCATTAGTTCTCATTCTTTATACGCCTACATTTATTGAACTCAGTGATCACTACACTCTGTTCAAGGCAGGAGCACCCGTGACTAAACCACCCCACCCAAGTGTATGTCCAGTTTTCTTTTAAATGAGCTTGGAGGCACTCGAGAAATGGGAACTTGATATTTACTGTATCAAGATGATGCTAGGCACATTTGAGACAATAATAATAATAATGGGATCTTTATTTTCTTTCTTAGACTATCTCAAAATATTCTCTCATTATTTGCAGTGTCCTAAGGCTTGGAAAATTGAGTAAATTGTACTTGATTTTCCTATATAAACAATCCCATTGAGGTCAATGGGATTTCTAGGATAGACTATAAAACTGTTTTGTGAAATAACTCAAACAATGGAGTTAAATCCTCTGCTTCACACATATCAGTTTGATAAGAATTATTCTATTCTAGAACATGTTAATCTCAATAATTACAAACTAAGGAAATACTTTCCAAAGGGAAATTCATCAGATACAGTGGATTTTCCTGCAGCTGAAAGTCCTAAAAATATGCTGAAAGTATGTGGTTCAAACCCCAGAAAAATCTAGTGCAAATTCTGCCTTCCCCTTCACCCCAACCAAACTCCAACAGCTTGTGTAGTGTATATGCACAATACATACATGGTATGTGTGTGTGTGTAATGGAAGTATATGTATAATACACTCAAGTCATTGTGTATGTATATATGTGTACATATACATAGAGAGATGTATATATGATAGAAGCAAACTTGGAAACATCATATTTAAGCATGCTCCTCTGTTAATGGCAAAAGTAAGACTCTAATTAATATTATCAGGACTCAATCTTGTCTTTATGTGCAGGGCTGGGCTTTTCTAGGTGACCTATTGAAGATTTCAGCCAAACTGGCTGTGTCCAGATGAGTGTGGCCATGCAGTATACTGCATATTTTGCTGTTTTCTGTGCAGCGCAGAGGATTTTTTTTGATCCCTGGATATCCAGGGGTCAAAAAAGCCTGTGGGGAAAAAAAGCAGAGCGACACACATGGCCACAGCATGCGCTGACCAAAGCCAGAGCACGGCCAGCCCGAGCCATGCTCCATTGCTGGCCAGGCTCCACACGGCAGGAGCACTGCTGCTGCAGCCCCAGGAAGCCTCCAGGTAAGGCTGCTGGGGCCAGTCTAGTGCTGGCCCCAGCCTCCCCTACCCCACCCCTGGTAACTTGCCACATGCCAGCGTGTACATGGCATAGGCATTCCCCCCAGGACAACTAGCGGCAGCACAAGGTGTGCCACTGCTAGTTGCCCCCAGGGAAACAAATATTCATGCATGTCTGGACACGGCCGCTGAGTCACAGTTTCTGGAAAGCTCCCAGCATGCAGTTCAGACTTTTTGTGAAAGATGTTTCCTTGCCAAAGAAACAATTCTCCTGGGTTAACTTATTGCCACAAGCGAGGAAAGCAGAACCCAGGGTTCTGATGGTACGGATCATGGTTGTGATGAAAGGCCATCATGGAAAACATCCATAATCTTCACCAAAATGTGTAATGGTGACCTCAGAAAAACAGCCTCCGCTAACCCAAGTGGAAACAGGTGGGAAAGCCTGATAGCATGAAAGGGGTGTGTTTGGGAAAGATAACATGAAAGTAACATGAAGCATCTCCCAAAGTGCGCCAGACTTGTACGCAATGCATATTCAGTGTGTACAGTTTGCAAGTGACCCAGTGTGTACAGTTTGCAAGTGACCCTGACTCACCTTGACTGACCTATCTGATGCGACTTGCATGTCAGCTAAGGAGAGCACACCCTTGCTTAAGGACACAAGGCTGCTCTGTGGGCCAGAATGGTTCCCATCTCATTAGTATTTAATGCACCAGAATGGTGTTCAGCTGTGTGTACATACTTGCATAGGCATGTAAATAAATGTGTTGTGCATAAACATACTTCTACACACCCAAACACACATGCAAAGATGCACAAACACATACATCACATGTACACGTTCACATATACAAATATGCACACACAAGAGATTATTATTAATGCCCTGAAAAGTTAAAGATCAAGAGCCTGTTCAGGAACCAGCCTTATGTCCTTAAACAGGGAGGGCTCACCCTAGCTGACATACACCCATTATCAAATAGGTCAATCAGGTTGCGTCACAGTCACTGTCAAGATGCCAGCATGTAGTGTATGCATTTTAGGAGGTGCTTCATTACTTTCTTGTTATCTCTAGCAAGCACCTTTTCTACCCCAACAGGTGGCCACTTTGACCAGAGAAGGAAGTTT